GTCTCCCGTACTTTGCATCTGTCTCTCGCATAATTAATCTGTAATCTGCGTGTGCACTTTTAGCCGTTTGAGGAATAGGGTCTGTGTTTGGAGAGAGAGTTGTGTTTGTGCATTTACTCGCTCTCTCTCCCTTTTCTGCCTCTCTCGGCCCACAATCTGGAATGGTTGTCCCATATTTTTCTTTCTCTCTTTCTGCTGCGGTGGTTGTTTTCTCCAGTTCCTGCCTCTATCTGACTCTGCTGATTAAGCAAAATTTTTTCTTGCCCCATGCAAGTTATTCCTGTAGACACACACACGCACGCACACACACACACGCACACACACACACCAAACGAGTGGACATCCCATGCTCAGAGTTACCTGTGAGTGTTTAGGAAATCTCTATTATAATTGAGTTACTCGGCTCTAAAATATGTAAAAAACTTCCACAAAATATCAGAAAATTATAAGTCAATTATTTTGAAAGAAATGAATGGAAGAAAATAGTAAAAGAAAATTGATGAATGTTAGAATTTCTTTTTGAATAATTAACAAAAACAATATTTTGAAAACATTTGGAAAACTGTCTGACAAATATAGAAAATTATTAGTAGAATTTGTAAACAATTAGCTTAAATAAATTTGAAAATCAGGTTAACAGAGAGAAGTGAGATGGAGATGGGTTCACCTTCATCTTAAAACAAACATTTTAGCCACTTAAAGTAGTTTGAAAATGATATTTGAACCCAGTGGAAGAGGGAGTGCAGCTGTTCCAACTATGAAAATGATATTTGACCAAAATAACCACAAGATTAACAGTAGTTAAAATACATGTTTAACTCCCCTTTGACTGGCTACAACGCTACTACTTAATTAATACTAATGTTATAGTAATACTAATCAGATAATGTAGTAAATAACACAGTAGAATTACAGTGACGGGGTCATTCTGCTGCCTAAAAAGTACTTTTACTTTTGATGCTTTGAGTAGTTTTTGTTGCGAGTACTTTAATAATGAAGTGACATTTTGGATGCAGGACTTTCATTTGTCACAGAGTTGTTTTCCAGTGCGGTATTGCTGCTTTTACCTGAGTACAATATCTAAATACTTTTTCTTCTGTCGAGTAAAAGTACTTGAAAGTAGAGTATCTGTGTGAAAGTACTTTCATACACAAGATCTAAAGTTGAGTTTATTCAATGCGTCGAAGCTCTACTAAAAATACCACTGTGATATTGATGTTGAGAGATTTGACCAGAAACAACAGAGTACTGCCAACACACACACACACACACACACACACACACACACACACACACACAGATAATTACAGCAAAGCTCTGCTGTAGGTCCCAAAGGAGATCCCATGGCTATTTTCGGCAGTGTGGAGGACTTAATACTCAGTGAGAGAGAGTTTATAGACGGGATTGAATAACTGGCGATCCTCCCTCGACTGAAGGAGAGTCAGGATTATTGCTGGTATGCTCATTGGCACGATGACATGGCAAGTCAAATCTGAATTTTAAAGGAATAGCTACAGAATATCTACAGAAATATGTTTATTCATTTCTTTTGCAAAGAGTTTGATGGGAAAATGAATACCACTCATGTCTGTTTACACACGTGTATCTTCAGCCTGCAGCTGATTGGCATAGAGATTGGAAGCACAAGGAAACAGCTGGTCCGACTCTGTCCGAAAGTAAATAGGATTCGGACAAAACCAGTTCTATCTTATATGTTGTTTGTATAACATGCAAAAAAGTGTAAAATGAAAATAAGCAAACAAGATATAACATCTAGACACAAAAGTGTATTGATCTGCTCAACAAACTCTCGTTAAATTTATATATTTTCCAAAATATATTCAAATAAAAAATGTCCAACTATTCCTTTGAAGTTCGACGAGATTATATTACAAAGCAGTGCTTTACTCGTGAATAATTTGTGTAGTTTAATAGTCCAGTCTTCTTCACAGTTTCCAGTTGTCTTAAGACATCCTGTGGGACACAGAGATAGTGTCCAACTGTCAGCACCACAGAATTCTGTTTTATTGTAGCCTGTACTTTCATCAAAATAATATGTTTCAGCAGCTCCTGCAATGTTATTGCAAAAAGGGCTTTACTTTCATTCAGAGGCACACTCTACAGCTGGATCTATTATTGGGCAGTGGATAAGATTGGAACCATTTACATCCGAGATGAAAGGAAGCTCTGGCAATGAGAGCACTGCAGGGCCATTCAAATGGACGCACAAAGCCAAAGGTGTATGAGCTTCCTTCCCGCCAGTGGCCTTGATGCAACTCAAAAAAGCAGGAAGATGAAAAGAAGACAAGACAAGGAAAAGAGGAGGAGACCCTCAGGGCAGCGAAGGGAGATCACGAAAAAGACAAAAAAAACGAGGTCAAAAAAGAGCAACACAGGGGAGAAAAGCGTGGACAAATGAGGAGAGAGCGGAGGTGTGCAGGTGAGACGGGAGGAAACAGAGAGGGGAGAGCGAAGCAGCACAGCTGCCCCACTGAGAAACAGATGAGCCTCTTTTTTGTCTCCCCCTCATGCTGCTCTCGCTGCATCCACGTGAGAGGAGGAGGGGGGAGGAGGGGGGAGGCAGGGAAGTTGGGAGGAGAAAAGAGAAGAAAATCCGAACTGAGGAACACCGCTGCTTTGCAATTCTGCTCCATCCATTGGCCAAAAATCCCCCTTCACCAGTTGTTTGGTTGAACATTTAGTTATGAAAAAATCTTGTAGAGAGAAAAAGGGGATGAAAGGTAATTAGGAGTCGTAGTGGTATTAACCACAATTTGAACATGTAGAATACGCACAAAAAACTTTTAATAAGACAAGAGAAAATGAAAGACAAGTCACTACCGTCAAGAAATGTAGACCAACAGTTTCAAAATGGTCTTTCATCAAATTTAAACTTCCACCAGTATTGAGAAAGTTGCTTCTTGAAATATACTTTGCCTCCAAAGAATAAGTGAATATGACTAAATATTTAGGAGATTTGTGCAGCGGAATGTGACAGTGAAGACGGTTGCAGATGTACACATGAACATACACACAAACACAAGTGCTTGGACTCAGAGTAAGCTGGTTCGGTGATTTTCTGGTTTGATGAGTCGGGGATAGAAATAAATCTCTTTTGGTCGGGGGAATAGGGAAATCGACTTCAGTACTCCATCATCATTTAGTCAGCCATGTTCGGCCTAAAAAAAAAAAACACTAGGGAAAACCCTTCCTTGTGCGTTCACATCATATATTTTATACTCAAAAGGGATTTAAACGGGTAAAATATATCACATTTTGTCTCGAACAAAAGGAAACATTTTGCTTAGAACGTCTCATGTTTGTCTGGAAATAAAGTGGTAAGTCACAAGCACTTATTTTGTGTGGGCCTTTGCTTTAAGGAAGTGGTCAATGTGTCATTTTGAAACCAACCTCACAGGAGGCCTCTTTCTGAAAATGTTAGAAATCCGAGTAATTCACAAACGCAGGCTTAGTTTGGCCCCGACGTGAATCAGCAAGTGTCGGGTAATCACGGATACTTCTTCGAAGGAATGTTATTCTCAGCTGCTTGTCCCTGCATGCCTGAGAGAGTCATAGCTCGGGATGTTTCTCCGTCTGGATATCTTCGCTGAAAGAAAAAAAGCCTCTCACTCATGTATAAACCCTGCCATCGTTAGCAGGGACCACCATCTGTTTTACAAACCTAAAGTAAAACACCACCATCCCCCTACCCTGCAGTGTGAACAGCCTTGCTATATGCCCACAGCTTTTATCTAATATACAAATAGCATTACAACTAGAAGAGTGGCTTTCAACTTTTTTTACTCCATGCAAGAAATAAAAGAAAAAGAACAAACTGCAACCAGTTCAACAGCCTCATTTCAGAGGACGTTATCCTTGAATTTCACATTTTTCACACTGCTTCTGATTCAAATCTAATCCATTTACACCATTTGAATTATATCTTTTGACAATCATAATGTATCCTTGTTTGACAGAACACATTTAATTGCATCTGACTGGCCTTGTTCACGCCACACATGTTGGAGCACGGGTGTTACTAATTACATTAACTATGGCCCTGTTCTACTCAATTGTTCCTGTAAACATGACAGAGTGACGTCAGGAACGATACCAGGACTCTGACACTGCAGCAGCTAAATGGAATTCAGCCAGCGAATCTAATGCAAATACACTTGTTTCAAGAAACCTCTTGAATTGTCTTGATATAATTTGTCTATTCTGGAGGATATTCATTTAAGAAATTGACTCACTGCTTGACACAAGTGAAACGTCATTGCAACTCAACTATGGCTCAGTCTTATTTCAATACAGGACAATCTTAATATTGTCTCTGTCGTCTTCTCTCCTCTTGTACCTCACCTGTTTTACTTCTCTCTCTTTATATCTACACTGCTCATTTTAACAGCGTCTCATTCCCGGCAATGTGGCGCTGGCAGCGTCTCTCATAATCGCTGTGAAGGCCCAGTATCTTCGTCTGGTCTGGTTCGTCTGAGCCATTTCAGCCTCACAGGGCCATTATGTCCTGTCTGTGACGGACAATGTCACAGTGCAAGAGTGCATAATACCTTGCATGTGTTCTCGTGTGTTTTTTCATGTGAACCAGTGCTCTGTGTGACTTATTTTATTTGTGGATGTACCCCAATATGTGTGTGTTCATGAGTTTGCCAGTGTTTGTTATATAATCACGTTTTTTCCAAAGTCACCAGCCGGTCTGAACCTTTGGAGTGACTTTGGATGAGATAGTGACTCATCCTCTCCTCCAGTGCCATCTACTGTACTGCCTGTGGAAAAGCACTTCTATGGGACAGAAAGTTTATTTGTGTGTGTTTTTTTGGCATTTGTTTATTGACTAATATTTACTATTGTTATGTTGTACTACTTTTGTGCTTTTTCTGCATCTCCCTATATATCAAGGGTACTGGATATATAGTCTAGAAATATAGTAAACACCATCGTAAGGACATATTGACCACATTTTCCACGGCAGGTTCTTTTTTGCCCCCATAGGCTCAGGGGTGCAGCAGTGAAACCAACAGCCTGACAAAAGAGGAGTTACCTTTACCACCAGATAGCAGTAATGACCTGACTGGCAGGTCAGATATAGTCGTTTGGATTTGTTTGTACAGCCTGGCACCACTGTGAAACACGCCAAATTGGTAACACATCAATGCTGTGACGTTACAACTGCTTTTAAGGGTAATACTTCTGCTTGTGTGAGAAGGGAGAGAAGGAGTAAAAAAGAAAGAAGTTCTTTATTGAAAAGGTTTTTTCTTTTAAATGATACTGCATTCATAATACAAGGTGCAGGTTCTGGATTGTGTTCACCACATTTGTAAAATATAATTCTATCTATCTCTCATGTTCATGGGCAAACAAACAATGGTAACCTTGTGTGAAAACCCTGGATGACATTTGAAGATTCCTGTTTAAAGTGAGTTCTGGTAAAATGCAAGAAAGTGTGAAAAAAATATGAATAAGAGGGTTACACTTCCCCAATATCTCACCTCGTAGATCATTTTCTCGGTGCCACCGGTCGGACTGTAAGAGGTCTGAAACTGCAGCTCTGCACTGGATGATATTGACACCTGTGTGTAGTTGTGAATCTCAGCCAGACTACAATAAAAACATAAAGATAAGTAATATAGCTACACTTTTTTATGTCAGGCCATAAAAACAGGAATAGATAGTGAAAAGCTTAAAACACCACTCTCAAATGCATTCAGCTCTTGTGTCTCTTGTATCTCATCACCACTGAATGATATTCCTCACATGTCCCCACAGCTTAGTTACCCACAGGTTAGCGCCCAGGTCTGTCAAATATTGAATTTCTTGGGTTAACATCTTTCGGCACAGTTCCTGATGTGCTTCGTTTATGTTTTTGTTCAAATTGTATCCTTCTATAGACGTCTCCCCGATGGGCTGCCACGGCAGCATGGCCTCCTCGTGAACACTTCCAGCCTCGACGGAGTGACCTCCCTCAATGCAGATCTCCACCAATTCTGCGTTCCTCCTCTTTAGTTTGGCGACCTCCTCTGCCATACGTTGTCGTCCAAAAACCTCCACCTTCTCCCAAAAGGTCACGTTAAAATGTTTGTACAGCTTCCAGTCGATGCCGTTCCACTGCAGGGCCTTCGCCCTGAGCTCAGGAGTCAGTTTAGATATGGTGGATTCCTTACGGGAGTTGAGCTTGAAGAAGATGATGTCGTCCGTCTCCCAACAGAGAGCATCCCGAAGCAGGATGAGGGATTCTTCAAAGTGCTCCATTAGCATGACTAAGTGAAAACGCTCAGCGATGACCCTGATGCCCCCTTCAACACGCGGGTCGTCTGGATCCAGAGTGTTGTCCTGCCCAAAGTCAAAGAACTGCAGGTTCTTCAGGTAGAAAGCGTTAAATCCATCTGGGCTGAAGTACTGTTTAGGGTCACCCAGGAACTCAGCCATCTTATCCTGACCAGGTATCCTCCAGGTCAGAGGAACGACGTGACCAAAATAATGAAAGGCTGACTCAAAGAGCTCTGCTGGATCTCGTAATATTGTGATGTAGAAAGTGTCTCGGGGCAGCACTCTGGCCACCTCGGTGGCATTGAATCGCATGTGGTTACACATGATGTTAAAACACATTCCAGATTCGTAGCCTTGAACGTACGCGTGCTGAAAAGGGGCGGGATAGAAGAAGTCGTTCCGGCTGTTGGGGAAGGCAAATCTGAGTTTGTGCTTCTCTCCAAAGCGGAACAGGATATTGAGGAAGGTGCTGCTGGCGGTTTTATGGGTCTTCATAAACATGACGTCTACTTTAGGAACACAGATGTTTTTGTCTCGCTGTGAGATGTTGGTGGTTGGCTGGGTGCTGTGCTGGTCTGGTGGGGGAGCACAGGAGCGAGGCACTGGAAGCCTAGGAAGTCAGCATGGGGAAATGATTGAGCGTCACCATAGTTAATCACAGCATATTTACAGTTATGCACTGAAAACTGTGTACGATCAGAAGATACAGCGTTTAATACTTCTTTCTATCAGATTATTTCTTATCTTATGTCAAAATGCCAAGTTTTCAATGTGTTGTGAAAGCTTGAAGCCATACAACGCAAGCATAGTATCACTGTACTGTAATTAAAATCCAAAGATTGATCTGTACCTCTTGTTCTGCAGCACATCAACTGTCACTACAATATTAAACACACGCTGCCCTTAAACGTAGCTGAGACAATTGTAATTGAGAATGTCTCAAAAGTGATAAATACATTACTGAATGTGAAATATTAAAATGCCAAGACATATTCACTGTTTCTCATCACTGCTGATTGTCTTCTAGGTGCCAACACTACACTGTATACTACACAACATGCTGTAGTCAGTAAATGAACATAATATCTATACAGTCAAATATTCTTCTCTTTAATTGCATTTACAGAATTAGTGATTACTTTATAATTGGTGCCAATAAAGAAATGATTAGTTTAAGTTAATTAACAAAATACCCAGTACAAAGAAGTATTGTTGGATTTATATCCCACAGTTTATCATTTAAAACATAGTCGATCATTTGTGATTCCATTACCAATATGGAACATGTGGTGAGATAATTGTATGATCTTTTCAGAGGCATTTTTTTGAAAGCCCACATATTTCTGTCATGTTTATTGTTCCAGAAAACTCTAAAATGGAGCTGCACCAGCCAACTCAATGTGTTTGATGTTGGCAAAGTTCAGTAGAAATGAAAACATGAGTTGATAATGCTAAAATGAATTGACATGAATACTGTATAATACTGTCTATATAACAAGTTTACCAGAGATAAAAAGGGAGCGGGGAGTCATTAAATTCAATCTATTAGGCACATACATTGAATTCTATATTAATATTCTCTACAATAATTGAAGAACCGACTCTTTAAGTTGAACACGTCATTACCAGGAACCAAATTTCTGTTATACATTTAGGCCTGTCTTATCTATAGATAAAGACACCTGCTAATGGTCATAAATGAGCATATAAACAGGTTGTAAGGTGCTAAAGTTAGATAATAAAGGCTATACTTTGAAGATAAAGGGTCAAAAAAGTCAATGGTAATGAGCAAAACATTAATTTGTGTTTTTTCCTATGTTTTTTTTTTTTTTACCTTTGCAGCCATTCTGCATCTGCCAACTGACTAGAAATAAAATGTCCTATTTTATGCCTGACTAATCAATATGCTGTGTTTTTATAGCACTCTCAGTGGTTTCTATGAGACTCTTATATTTGCCCTTTTGTCTAAAGGCCTTACTCTGGAGTGAAGTCGATCTGTACTGTCGAAAGAGCGTAGAGCAGAGTTATACTGATGAGGAGACAACCCACAGTGACACGTTTGATCTGGAGCTTCCACCACTGCCTCTCTTGTTTTTGGAGCATGGTAACAAACAGGGAACTGAAAAAAAGAAGACGAAGAACAAAAATATGAGGGGAAGCGCAAACATTGTTTGAGTCACACTTTGTTTGACACAAATAACACGCATCAACTTTTGTGTTTAATAACAGAAAGAGTTCCAATACCAGATCAATCAATCAGTCAAGCTTCACGGGTACATGTTTGACTTTCTCATTGCAACTTCAACAGAAAGAAGGACTATAATGATCCAGGTGGGAATTTGATAAATAAATTGCATGTAAAAAACGGTGCATATTTTACATGCAATGTATGTCAGAGATATACAGTACATTTTAGAACCGAGAGACCCCCACGGGGGTCTTTTTAGAAAAGTGTAGCCTACAGCGTGTAGTAGAAAGCACTTTTCATAAACAAATATAATTAATGCTCCAGACATATTAAATACCGAATTAACGGAAAAAGTCCGAGCAACATCATCACACCAGCCATTTTAAACACTGCAAACACAATTATACATGAACTAATATCATATCTGGAAGATATCTAGAAGACTTACCACAAAACCACGTTTTTTTTGGGCAAAAAACTGCGTACTATGCTCTTTGTTTTGGTCTCTCATGAGAAAGGGCAGAGCGATACTGGCGGATGAGCACATCTAGCAGGGTCGTCATTCGACTCGGCGTCGACTAGCGTTTTCGAAATTACTCTCTTTCAAACCGTTCAAAAGTTACATATATCAAAGCCAACCATCAGCCACAACTCTGCAGGACAAACAATTGGTACAAAACTTACATGTTGGTGGCTTTTGTGACGAAAAACGGATTTGATCCATTGGATTTTGCAGCAGCGTCTTCCTGCGTCTCCCCCTCCACGTGTGTGAAATGCCAGGTGTCCGAGAATGAATGAGAAAATTGCAGGTGATTCAGCCAGGTGGACCAATGCATGTACATAGGGGGGTTCGGCCAGCATTTTGCAATGTTTAGTCAGTAAACAGACCCGGATCATTCCAAACACCCCCGCATGGCTCCCGTTGGACTATCCCGGATGCAAAAAGGTGTCCATGAATAAATCTGCCAATCACAGGCCTTACCAAGCCCACATACACACACAGACACAGGCATTTATTTTTATGAATGCCAGTTATGACACCTCAAAACTGCTCAGAATTAATCCAAATTATGCCAAACTGCTTTATTAGGATTATTGAACACTCTTAGTGATAAGACAAGTGAATATATAGTTAATATTTAGTTATATAGTATATCAAATTAGAATACAGCAATGCAACTGCTGGTTCCGAAAATCTGAATTTTGCTTCACTCAATCGAAGTAAAATATGTTGTGGAGACATGTAAAACGTGTTGTGCTATGACTGTGGCGTATTTTTAGGCAAGGATCTGCATTATTTCAAGTAAATATTTTGCTACAGGTGCTTTTTTTTCAGGCGAACCTGAAACTTTTTCAATTTGAGCTGTGTGTCATCTTCATTCGCTATTAACCAGTAACATATACACAATATTTACACATATGAACACATCTCACAAGTGTTACCTGTATTATACAATCACAATTATTAAAATAGGCCTTGTAGTTACAGATGTGGAGTCTTTTGGGTATGGTAATGCAATTTTCGAGCAGAGGCCTAAAAATAGGGCTAGGTATGGCCATGTTAACCTTCCTATTAGAAGCACTTGCAAGTTAAATTAGATTCAATTTACTCCAATCAATCATCAGTTTTAACATTGTGAAAACTGAGAGTACTTTAAATAGATAGTCATCATATTTAACTGTGAAAACTGAGAGTACTTTAAATAGATAGTCATCATATTTAACTGTGTTTAAATAACGCATGCAAAACACTCTGTTTATATGTTATGGTCATAACAAATGGGTATTATTCCTTTTCCATTTAAAATGCTGTATAATTAGCATGTTCAGCATTTAGATATTCAAAAAACATCACCAGTTTACTTTTGAACCAAAAGGCATACAAAACTGAAAATCCAAATTTAAAGTGGTATTTGTAAAAAATAGAAATTCCTTAATTGTTAACAACGACAACCCAGAATATGTTGTTTTGTTGTTATATAAAACTGTACAGTTATTCTCTGTTCACTTGAACCAATTGGAAATAGTAAATCCATTGAAGAAGAACAAGAAATAAAAAACACTGCCTTGCCAAAAAAAGTTGAAAGATAAGTAAAGTGCTTTGGGAATGAAAATCAACAGATGCTACTGAAAAGATAACGTAAGATTTGCGGAGGGAAAAGCGGATCCTTACTATTCATGTGGAATACCAGTCACTGGACTCTCACATCAAATTTCTTCCTGCCATGGCGAGTATTCCAAATCTTACATTTATTACCCTGTTTACCTTACTGTAGCCTGGATGACACTCTGAGCACAATCTCCACGTCGTCGTGGTGTCAGGTTTTGTGTTCCAGGTGTGGAGGAGCAAAGAAAAGGTCGGACACATGCATCCCAGCTGTCACGCCTTACTGCAGTATCCTGGCCGCTCAGCAGAGGGCCTCATCTCATCGTTTAACCAAACTGAGGTGATTTCACTCTAACTCCAAATGGAAATATCTAAATAAATGAATTTTATGAATTCATAGCAGACTGTAAGCGTTCACCTACATGCTTTTAAAATGGACGTGACAAAGTCTGCCGTGCTGATCTGCTATTTTCTTCAGCACCACCACAGTCCTGTTTCTTGATCTCTTTTTTTTAAATTCTTGAACTCCACTCACACTGCACTTTACTTTCAAATTGTACACATACGTAGATTACTCCTGACATGTAAAATAAGTGATACACAAAAGAAGAAAAACATCCACACACACTTAAAATCTGCATTTATCATTCATGAGCTTTGGGCCCTTCACTCACGCAGTCGGGGCAAAAAGAATATCCCATAAATTACAGTAATTAGCCCCATTGCAAAACATCTGTGTATCCCTGACAAGATCACGCCAAATGGACTTCAGATCACATTGATTATAAAATAACATAATTTATGACCATCATTAGACAGTTGTTCCTTTTTTATACTTAAGATAACGACATGCAGCTGTCAGAGGGAGCTCCTTTGAAAAAATGGTCGGTTTCATTTTACGACGCTGCAGATGCAAATATGATATTTTATGATGTGCTTTACATAATACAATACTTCCACACAATTCTTTTATGTGAATGAACAACAGTTAAAACCTTTCCCATCTCATGCATCTCAGTGTGTACAGCAGTTGTGTGACAGTGACCTCTAATGAATTAGTAACAGTGTCATGGTGTGCAAAGGATAGTCCCAAGAACTTCAACATAAACCGTTTGGGGATAGGCTGAAGAGTAAATAGCATCAGTACATTTAGTTGGAGTTTTTTGGGAGTTTTAGCTGAAGCAACACCAGAGGGAGACGTTTGGTGGAAAAACACATCTGTCCCAATTGGTGTGCATCATAAAGTCTGAGCATGTCGTCTGATTTCAAAAACGTGCAGCTTTCTTTTGCCCAAATTTGCAGAAAACAAGTGGAACTTCACCAGTCTGAACCACCGGAGCCAAACATTGGGTTTTGTCTGAGTGACACTGTCAGTTCTGCTGTAGTTCCCTTATAGTCCTGCTGCTCATTAGTCAGCTGTGAAAGAACGCGGTGTTCCAGGCTTGGAGATCTGTAAATGTGAAATACCATATTCCTGTGAAAAATAACTTTCTCATCTTAACTACATGCTGCTGGATAATTAAGAGTTTAAAAACGTAATCGCTAGCTGGCAGAAGCTGTTTTACAGCCACAATTACTCTCTATTTCTGAAAAAAAGGACATGAAGACGGTGTTTACAGATTTTTCATTGATGTAAAATTACGACGCAAAACATTCATCTGTGGTAATGGTTCCACATTTCAATTCTGAGCAGATGTTGATATTCATTTATTATGTTTTATTGTTATTTCACCATGGAATGAGAAGTTATTTTAGGGAAAATAAATGTGTCAGTGTTTGATCTGATGGATGTGTAAAAGTACATTGACTGTGTTATAGTCATCAATGGAACTGTGTGCGCACACACACACACAAACCTGACAGCTACACTATCTATAATGGATACTGTAACATTGTGTTTGTCCAGACATGGAGTGTCACTTGCTTGTAAATCAGATATTGTGAGCCGGAAGAGTCTGTGTTGTGCTGGAAAACTCAATTGACGAAATGTCCTTACTGCTCCACCACACTCAGCCCAATCTAATCTTGATGTTGTGTGTGTGGAGAAGCAATCGTTGTTACTGCTTTATGTTGAAATCATGAATTTCTGCATTTAAATTGGGTTGTGTATCTTCGTTTATGGACAAACATAAACTCTCAGGCAAGGGGGGGGGGGGGGGGGGCTGTTTTTAGCTCAGATGTTGGATAAGTAAAACAATTTGAAAGTTTACTTTTATTATTAAACTACAAAGTTACTTCACCTCTGTCTTTATGAATGATCCGCAGCTGCTTCTCTGTTCCATACTGATGCTTTTTAGTATCTGTGGTTCTTAGAGATGGAGAAACCTGCTCGGAGGTCCCGAGGCAAAAATCAGCAGTGGGTCCACATTTACTTACTCATGCCAATATTAATATAAAAGACCATTATTATATATTTCCATGTGTTAAAATCGTATATATATAACAAAATGCATTTGTATATATTGAAACTAGATTTCGATAAAGGCCCCATCTAGCTTCAGGGTAGGTTAAAATGCAGGAGCCACTTAAATGTCCTTACTGTTTGAACTGAAGACAAATTCCCACAAACTAACTGCCACACCAGGATCCTCAGGCCTTTGGGGCCCCTAAGTGCCTGGGGCTCTGGGAAAGCTTTTACCTGCTGGGCAATCCAGCCTTGAAGTTGCCAAAACAGCAGTGGTGATGTTTGATGACAACATCTCATGTGCTCTTTGATAGCTGAAGTGTTACAGTGACTTGAACATTGATGCCCCACCCCAGTAGTTGTGTCTGCATGCTGTTTCATGAATAAAGGACGGGGTCCTCATTTGATTCTGAAATGACCCTCTATATACAAGGCGACCTCTAGTATATCACAGCCGTGCTTTTTTTTTTTACAGCTCCACAAAACGCATTCAATTTCCATAAAACTTTTTCCAAAGAGCTTGTGCAGCAAAAGCTGCGTGTTTTGGACAAACAGCAGCAGGCATTCAGAGCACTGCAGAAAGCCGAGATGAGAGATAAGACAGAGGGAGGTTGGGTGATAGACTCTCCCCACTAGGCGATAGAAAATGAAAAAAAAAAATCTCCGTCTAGCTAACCAAACACCACATTTGCATATGAATAGTAAAAATAGGATAAATCATAACTGTGGCTTTAAGGCAAGAGATAAAGGCAAAAACATTGTTGCAGTGGTCATTTTTGAGATTTTGGTCTATTTTGCTTCTATAAACATGTCTTCTTTCAGACTAATGGAAAGGAAACATCCAAAATATATATTTCGGTGTTTATTTTATTACTTTTTCTATTTGCTTCTGTCGATTTTATCTTAATTATCCAAAACTTAGCAAAAGCGAATGCCTCATTTGCATATTTTAATATACAATTTCAGAAAACTTGTTGTGCAAAAAGTAATTGTTTTAAAGGAACAGTGTAACATTTAGGAGGACTAATTAGCAGAAATGGAATATAATATCTGCAACACACTATTAAATGCCACTAGATCGTACACACTGTTCCTTTAATTCATGTAACCAACTGTGGAAGTGTCTTGGGATTTCACAATACATATCTTTAAAGGTCTTTGAGTTTTTCCTCATACTCATACAGAGCCAGCAATCTCCACTTCAGTAGCACTTTTATACACCAAACCTTCCAGTTTCATTCATAACTATATCTGAAGGTTTCAGAGGGGTTTGTTCATATATCCTTCATCTGATTTA